GGCCGCGGGCCCCGCGGGAGAGGCGGCGGCCCGGCCGATCGCGGCGGCCTCCCGGCGCCGGAGGCGGCTATGTATCGAGGAATGGGCCCCTCGGTGAGGCCGAAACCAGCTGCATGCAGCAGATTTCGTACCCCCCCCTTTCCCTGCCTTCCAGACCTATAGACCTATCTGGGCTGCCTCAGACCTCGACAGGAATTAAGATATCGAGGTCCTGGTGCTATTTCTTAGCCCTCCTGGAAGGTCAGGGTTCCCAATCCCCCCCTTTCGTCCGGCCCGAGAGGGACGCGCCCGACCTCGCCTTAAGTTCGCAGAGGAGGCTGGAGGCCCAAAGGGCGGCCCGCGACTTTGGCCACGGGCCGCGGGGGCCCCGCGGGAGAGGCGGCGGCCCGGCCACGAGCGCGGCGGCCGGGCCGCGCCGGGGATGTCGTCGCTCGGCGCGGGGTTTTCCGGTGGCGCAGAGAGACGGGCGTGTGCCACTGCTCGCAGAGGGGCTGCTCGCAAGTGGCCTCCAAAAGATACGCAACAAATGCCCCAAAAGTGTCCAAAAAGACTCAACCAATACTCAAACATATTCAACAAATGCTCAAAAGTACTAAAACTACACAACAAATATTCAACACACACTCAAAAAGTACTCAAAAAATCCCCCGCGGACGACCTACGATACATTGCATCGAGGCAGGCATCTGCTTTTCGGACGGCTGCGAGCAGGCACTTCTTGTGAGAAGCGGAGCGCGCTCCTCGCTGAGCAAAGGTGGGGCCCCGTTGGCGGGAGACTCCAGAATCGAATCGACACGGCGGATCGGCGATCGAAACGGATCGGATCGGCGGGAATCGGCAGCCGAGTCGGGCAAAGCCGAATCGGCGGAAATCGGGAGGCTAATATGCCTCCAATGAAAAAAAGAGAGCCCAAATAGGACTCCGAAATCACATCGAAACGGAATCGGAATCCATCGAAGTCGAGTCGAATCGAACCTGAGGAGTCGAAGCGAGCCCTGCGAGGTGCCTCAAGCAACGTACATCCACCCTTGGCTCCCTTTTCTATCCTCAAGCCCCCATCCCTCGGGGCCCCCTTTTGCCAGACCCCCGACGTCATGATCGTTTCATGACGCGACCCCAAAGGTCCAGACCCATTCCCCGGGGCCGGTTTTTCCTCCTGAGGCGTTTTCTGACGGTCCCGAGGCCCAGGGAGGGCCCCCAGAGGCCGAAGACAGTGAAACACCTCACGTCGTGATCGTTTCATGACGCGACCCCCAGAGGTCCAGACCCATTCCCCGGGGCCGGTTTGTCGTCCGGAGTCGTTCTCTGACGGTCCCGAGGCCCAGTGAGGGCCCCCAGGGGCCGAACATAGTGAAAGACCTCACGCCGTGATTTTTGTCGCAGCGCGATGGGATCTGGGTTGGAACCACCAAAGGGTTCTCGGGGCCCTCGCCGTGCCCCCGGGGCCGCACAGGAGCGTCGACCAAGATGGAGAGCTGGCCCCTTCGGAACAAAATGAGTCGAGGCCGTCGGGGGGGCCCACGTCGTGGACGAGAGCATGACGCCGGGGGAGGCCTGGGGCGTGCGGTCCCCTGACCTTCCAGGAGGGCTAAAAAATAGCACCAGGACCTCGATATCTTAATTCCCGTCGAGGTTTTAGGCGGCCCAGATAGGTCTATAGGTCTGGACGGCTATGTTTTAGCACTCTGGAAGGTCAGGGTCAGTGCTGGGAGTGCTGGGGCTGAAGCGGCAGAGGAGGAGACCGTCAAACATCGAGTGGCAGGCCAGCGAGGCGCGTCGTTCACTGCCCGCCGCGGCCGTCGTGCTGCCCCATGGGGATGGCCGAGAAAGGAACGGAGGCGCTTTTCTGGCCACGGCGAGCCTGTGCCACGAGTATGTTTTTTGTTTATTGTTCTTTTCCTTTCAACCTCTGGAATGTTTTCCACAGCAGCGAAGGAGGTGGCTACAGCTGCTGGAGGAGGGGAGGACGGCCTCCACTCCAAGGAAAAACCACTGGGGGAGGCGGGCCAAACTGCCTTTGCCAGGAGCAGGCCCCGACCTAGATCTAAGGGACGGGCCAAACACCAGAGCCCCTCCCGAGCCCGAAGCGGTCCTTGCTTCAGCGCCCTGGCTGCACACTGGCGCACACACGACACGCGCCACAGAGGGAGTTCGGGACGCATCCTTCGGCCAGCAAGCTGGCCATCGCTCGGACGTCCAATCTCTGTGTTTTTTTAGGTTTCGTGCGTGGTTTTTCCGCCAAATGATCAGGGATGCTCCTCGCCGAAAGAAACATGCACACGTTCGAGCGATGCCAAGGAAAGGGGGAGCGAACAACGACATGGATATGACAACTCAGAAGTCCGCTGGGATTTCTCGGATCGGCGCTGGACCCCCCTCCCTGGGGCTCCAGCGCAGAGCCGAGAAATCCGGCGCGGACCGTCGAAAGGTCGTGTGTTGTGCAGCTGCTTGCCATCGCTCGGACGTTCATCCCCGTGTGAGTGTGTCGGTTTTGTGCATGCCTGTTTTGCCGGATGATCCAGGACTTTGTGGGCCCCGGAAACGGCAGGGCCGTTTTTTCACCGTTTCCTAAAAAAATGTCCCTTGAAAATGGAAACGGCAAACAAACAGCGACCGGAAACGGCAAAAAAACGGCTCCAGGATTGGAACCAGAGCCGGAACTGGTCAAAAAACGGCGACGGAACCGGTAAAAAAACGGCGTTGGAATCGGTAACAAAACGGCCCTGTCGTTTCCAGGGCCCACTAAGATCCAGGATGCTCCTCGGTGGCCCCAGCCGAGTTCCAATGCACACGTCCGAGCGATGCCAAGGCAGCCGTTTCTTCGTCGACCGTCGGCGGCGGTCGGCGCTGCTGGAGGAGGAGGAGGAGGAGGAGGAGGAGGGGAGGAGGAGGAGGAGGAGGAGGGGGAGGAGGTGGTGGAGGCCCCGATCGGCGGCGCCGCGGGTCAAAGCGGCGGTCGGCGGCGGCCGGCGCCGGCCGGCCGCGGGCGGTCGGGAAGGCGGCTCGGCGGCCCGACCGCCCGCGGGGTCGGGCGGGGAGGCGGCGCCGCAGCGCTGCGATCGGCGCCGAGGCGCGCGAGGGCGGCGGGCGCGCTGTGGCGCGGGCGCGTGCGGCAGCGGGAAGCTGTGCTGCCCCCCGCGGGCGCGCGCCTGCTCGGGGGAGTCGCCGTCGCCGTCTCCTCCTCCACATCTCCTCCTCCTCCTCCTCCTCCTCCTCCTCCTCCTCCTCCTCCTCCTCCTCCTCCTCCTCCTCCTCCTACGCGTGGGCTACCCGCGCCGCGTGGATCGCTCGAGCGAGGGCCATCGCCGGCGTCACGACGGCGCAGATATCGTTCCACCTCGGCACCCCGGTCGATTTTCCGAGCACCTGGCGGCGTGCAGCCCTGAACGCCCTCGCTGGGGCAGCTGCCGCGTCGACGCGGCGAGAACCTGCCGCAATCGCCCCCGCGCTCCCCCTCCTCCTCCTCCTCCTCCTCCTCCTCCTCCTCCTCCTCCTCCTCCTCCTCCTCCTCCTCCTCCTCCTCCTGCTGGGGCCTTCCGGGCCTTGCCTCTTGGGCCTTCCCAGGGTCTTTGCCTGCTTCTGCGCCAACTGTGGCGCCTGGAGAGCTCGGAATCAAATCGGCTCTCCAAGAAGTTCCATGACCAGTCCATGGGCAAGCCGCCAACCCGAAATCGCGGCGGAAGGAGCTCGACATCATGAAGCAGCTCCGACGCGGGGTCAACCCGTTGACCAAGGTGCCCCTCGAGAGCGGCCGTCATTTGCCCGTCAGCGCCCTGCCCTCCAGCGGGTCGGAAAGAAATTTGTCAATTCAAATCAAGTCCCGTCGAGGAGCCTATGGAGGCACATCGTTCCGCGAGCGGAGGCAGAGTGCGTGAGACACTACGGCAACAAAGAGCGAATGTAACAGAACGATGGCGGATAGGGCAATACTGACGCACAGATGTATTGCACCACGTACTCTACATCATATCCAGAAGCGCAGCTTCCAGACGTTGCCTAGGGAAACGCTCCTGGCTGCGGACAACATTCGTTAGAGTCGTGCCGCGCTCTTGTCACAGGAGAGGAGGCGATGGCATCGGCCCACCTGCGCCGCGGTCGGCCTCGGCGTCGACTCCCGGCCGGTGTTTCCAACGCAAAGCTTGCGCAGGCAACTCTTGCGAACCCCCTGTGGGAACTCGTGCAACGAGGCGCCATGTGCGACGGTCTAAGACATAGAGCCAACCTGACACGGGAAAGATATTCAAAGCAACGTGCTCTTGTTGCTTGCACCGTTGCCTTGGGATTCCCAATGTTTTCACCGCGAAGCTTGCTCAAACCACCGATCTAGCGGAGCATTTTTGAACGCGTTGGTATAACTAGAGCACGCTGCTGTGCTGTCGCGGCCGCGGTCGGGAGACCGTAGACAACAGTAGGCGTGATAACCGTCGCGAAAGGCTTCAAACTAAGGCGCGATGACAAAGCTCCATTCAGAAGCGTGTTTTTAGCGAAATTTCTCAAATGCGCACGCCATGTGGTAACTTACATTGCGCGCTGATCTTCTGCGAAAATCTCTTCCGAATTGATCGCCGAGGTATGTGTGGACCACTTGGGACGTCATGAGCAGGCAACTGGCAGCCAGCAAGCTGCAGAACGAGAGGCTCCTCGACGCGTGAAAATGAAACGCCGTTCGTACAAACTTGCATTTATCTCAGAATTCTATGCGAGGCCGCATCCGGCCAGCTCTTCCGGAAACGTGTCCAGCATGCGAGTGACCTTTTGCGGAACGCGCATATAGCACAATGCCATCGGCAGAATATATGTTGCTGTGCAGGCTGACGCCTCCAACGTCGAAGCCGCACTGCTTAGCACGCGCCTTGAACCTCCGAGCTGCGTGCTCTAGGCCAGCATTGACATGTAGCGATGGCAAACCGCATCCCTGCTTGACGCCGCGCGTAATGTCAAACGCTGCACTGGCATTGCCGCTTCCCACTGTGTACTGCAATTGTCCGACAAGGGCCGCG